GGCTCAGGCTCCCAGGCCATTCGCTATTAAAGGGTCTCCCTGCACAAAGTCTCAGACCACGTATGCTTTTGAGATGTCATGTGAACCACACGACCCAAAAAGGATTTCTTATTTTTAAACGGGGTCACGACTCCAATAACTTTCATATTCCCAGCTGACAAGAACACAGATCTCACAAAGAGCAGGGACACCACAGCTTGAGAGCTTTCAGAGGCTGCCATGCCAGCACCAGTGACCATCTCTAATGACACGGCACTCTTTGCAAGTTACTCATGTCCAAGCAATGCAGGAGCACCGCCTCCTCATTTCGGCAGGGAGAAAGTGCTTTTCTAACCAACGTTTATAATTTTCTTTTCCAAAGCTTTGTTTATAACCCAGCCACAGAGTTCTTGCTAGACTGACTTTTACCATGCAAGGAACATAACTGGGGGACTGTTTTTAAATAAATACTTAAATAACAGTACTACTTTTAAAGAGAGACTTCAATATCTCCTTTAAATTACTAGAAATGTGCCAACAGGGCACAAGATTGGGTTTACTTTAAACAGGCTACCTCACAAAGCGAATGACTGCTTAGTTTTCTCTAGGTCACGAATAATTGTGTTTACATGATTTACAACAGATTTCACACTTGCAGAGCATCTTGTATTCCAAAGAACCAAAAAAAATCCCAACAAAAAACCAAAACACATTGCAGATTTTTGGGCAACCAAGGCATAACTGATTCACTTTTGTCACTGAAAAGAGGCCACTGCTTGGGTGATGCACGGCAACAATCTACACTAACCAAGAACAGTGAGCCTGTTTGTTTATTGCAGTTGAGGGAATTCAAAGTCTGGATTTTAAAACAGAAAGATCACTACTGAACAACGCTTTCCCTGGAGAGATGTCCTCACAGCTTGCAGATGCTGTGCAGTCAACACCAAAAATGTGCTGAATCCTGCAGTATACTAAAAGTATGCTTATTCTATATTACAAGGGTTTGATGGTTAAGCTATACCCGAGTAGCATTTACTGGCTAAGCAGTTTCAGGCAAGTTTTTGTCACAGCAATTAAAAAAAAATTATACCATCAAAATACGGGGACAGGGTTGAGCTTCTTCCAACCATGCAAAGTTTGTTCATGTAAGCAGGCGAGGAGTAACTGTACAGTCAATGGAGTATCTGTGAAACTTTAGGGTCACCTTTGTGCATTTTGCCTAACAAAACTACCAAAGTTACAGGTCAATTTGGAACAAAGTGCCAGCCAGGGGTATCCAAGCCCACCTCTGAGGGTCATGTGCACAGAGGGAAGTGCCAAACTTGGGGATTAGGTTTGCACTGAACATTTGCAAGTTTGTAGATTTCCAGTTCTACGCATAGCCTGGGATTGGTGTCATTCTAATAACAATCTTCTGTATGGCACGTCTCAGCTCTAAATTCATCTTCCCGTATTGAAATGCCAGAGCTCGGTCCAATATGCACTTATGAAGGTCATCACAGGCCAAAAGATGATGTGGAGCGGTAGAAACATATTACCAGTGCTCCCCTTAGACCCAGACTCATTCATAGGCAGGTGTCTCCCTGCTTAAGGTAAGAAAAAAAAAAAAAAGTGTTCTTGTATGCAAGTCTGCAAGGTAAAAGTGCAGTACTTGAATATCGCTTAGATACTAGATTTAACAAAGAACATGATATTGTTAAGTAGGAAAGGAAAGCCAAGAGGAACAGTCAGAAGGATAAAAAGATCAGTAAGTTTTTGTTCAGAAACTGATATAGCATAAGAGTGAGTCAGGAAAGCAGTTGATATAGAACATCCCTTTGAATAACCCTCTCCTTCATTAATCCCCTTCTACAGATGCACAACAAAAGCCATATTTCCATGCCGAAACATGCATACAGTACCTCTTAATTCTCTAACATGCCAATCAGGAGCAAAGTGAAAAAAGGAAGACAAAGGAATAAAATTAGGATAAGCACAACATAAAGGACTCACATATTCAGTAAGACTCACTCATATTAATTAACATTTCTTTTAAGAAAAACATTCAAGTATATTTAGCAAACACAGCATCTTTGGAAAAAAAAAGTAAACATGATAGAGATAATTCTAATAGCAGAGGGGGAAGAAGCCATGGTTACAGAGCAAATCTGACATCACAACTCATCACCAAACCACAGAGAAAGAATTGTTCACTGACAGTCAGCTCCTACTCCCACAGATGTCAGTGACAGAAGTTGCTGATGTCAGAAGTGTAGGATTCAGATATGTAAAATGAGAAAGGATGAAACAAAATTATTACAGCTGAGATTAAAAATAATACCTTACCCTTTCTCCCACAGCAGAATTAATCTCCTAGTCTGTGCAAACAATTCAGGCATTGTCTAAATGAGGAGATGGATGGACCTAATTCTTCCGAAACTGCCTAGCATGTCGAGTAAAGATCTGAACTGGATGTTCTGATCTCAGGCTCGTACTCCATCCCAGAACCAGAGAAGACAGCCTTGCGTCCTAGTTTCTCAGTTTTTGAAGCTCCTGAGATTGCCTTACAACTCCTTGGTTCCCCATCACCAACAGGTTCACTGGAAAAGTCTTCTTTGGCAATATACTACCTCCATCTGTCAGATCAGTGGGACAGAAGGGAAGGGAGAGGAATCTGATACTGACCTCTGCAGTGTGCTGGGTTCCTCTTCGTGCATGGAACCAGTGTTCATGGCTTCAAAAGAAAGCTACCATTTATGCAGAGCACCCACAGCAGGCCCAGGTGTAGCTGAAGGCTTTGGTACACCCCTCTTTCCATCAGTGAGAAAGGTGAATCACCAAATGGAGGCTGATCCGAATAAGATGTCTGAGAAAAACTGTGATCAGAAGTATTTGCTCCCTTGTTTTCTACAGGACACTGAAATGTCTTGAAGCTCCTCTTTTCCCTTCTTTATTCTCCCTCTTTCTAGGTCCCTTTGCATGATAGGGACCCTTTTCTGGTGCTGTCCTAGACATTTCTCTCTTCTGACCACCACCCTGCAAACTGAACAGGCCAGCAAGTAAGCACAAAGTAGAGCTGATCCCTGCAAAGCTGGGCCATACCCTGGTGCTATCTGTGAAAAACAAACTTCTTGAATGACCTTACAAGAGTCCCAGTGAGCTCTTAGTATCAGCTTGGGTGTGATTTTCAACAGGTCTCTTTTCTGTACAAGCCTCCACGACTTACGTCATTTCCAGACAAATGATGGGCCTTCACACCTAGGCAGGTAGTTCTTCTGAAGCACCTTTGCTTTCCCCCATGCCTTCAGAATACATCACTGAACAGATGTTTCTCTAAGCTTGGAAAAATCACTATTCAGTTGTTGCAACGCATCTATGAGGAAAAAAACCCTCTCTGTTGTTGAGCCTTTTTTTCCATCCTAAGTATTTTTAGCATACCTACTTCCTACATATTTAGGCAATAAAACCAGTTCCCTTCTTATTTCCAGAAGTGCCAATCAGATGTTTTAAGCATCCCTTCGGTGAAAGGGAGCAGCCTAGTGGCAGGAAAATGAAAGATGGGCCAGTTCTGCTTCCCTGCTTGCGTGTCAAGACAAAGCGTGACACAGAACTTAACATCATACCAGTTACAGCTGAGAGTTACTTTTGAACTGATTAGGACAACTGAACGTTCAACTAACTGATGTGTGGACAGAAAATATTAAAAGGGAAACAGCACAGTTAATGTCTGCCTTTTCTTTATTCTTCAGGACAACAGTGTTGCTGCGAGGCTAAGGATATAAAGAAAAAGAGGACTTGTAAGGAGTAGTTGCTTTTCTTAGACCCACTGATACAGCTGGAAATAATGATCAAGTTTTCAAGCTCAGAATCTCTTTCTTGCCTGAGACCTTTTATGAGATACCTGATTAAAGGTTTCAGCTTAAAGCATGAGTTCTGGACACATCAGTTACATGAGCTGGTCTAATAAAAGATGTTACTTCTCCCGCTGAGGTCCTCTGTTACGAGATGGAGAGAGGGCAACGAATGCTTCTGTTGCCACTGGATCTGAGCCCTGTATGAAAAAGGGAACCTGGGGAGCAGGAGAGAGGAATCCACAGTTTCACTGACCTTTCGCTAGTTTATGACTTACCAAACAGGCTACCACTTGATGAAGGGGGCCAGGACCTATACAATGCTGCCACATCAAATGACTGCTTTTTTTATAAGATCACAAAAGCTTTCTGTAAATCTGCAGTCCCACGAACTAGGCTGAAACAACAAACTCATATGCCCCAGCCACAGAGCCACCAGACACTGATAGCTATTCACTGTCACTCTACTGATGAAGTTCTAATGAAAAGTCAACATCATCAAATGATTTATGTCAGTGAAATGGAAACTGTGGGGTAGTGGTTGTTTTGTGTTTTTTTTTTTTTTTTTTTTTGGGGGGGGGGGGGATCATTATTACTAAACCTTCAGGAGAAAGGATCAGCAAGATAATATAAAATGATATAGTAACTCTTGTGTTGCTGATGCTCCGGGAAAGCAGCAGCACCAGCAACTGGGAAGTCACTTCTTAACCAGAGGACTCAGAAATAAGAACAAAGATAGTTCTGACCCTTCAAACTTAATACCTGCTGTGCAAGTTTCTCATGGTTGCCAGTACATATCTGCCTACCACCAAGAGGACTGAATGCCTGTATTTGACTGAAGGTTTGCCAATTCTGAACTGTGAGAATTTCATGGAATTGCTATAAAAAAAAAAGCAAGCTAAAGACAAAGAGTCTGAAAGTACACATATATCCTATGATAGTACTTGAACCCACTTTAAAAGTGTAACAACACACTTGTAACAATTTTCAGACTTTAAAACAAACAAATAAACCAGAAAATGAACAAAAAAAAAACCCCAACAAAACCCAATCAACTCAAAACAAAGTCTCTGGAGCCTACTGGTAAGAGAAATAAAGTGGCACTCATGTTCATATCTGGCTAGATATCTTGTCCCAAGCTCCTGCAACAGGCACCTGTAACGAAGTACTAGTAACACAAACACTCCGTACCTGCATCTTCCTCTTGACAGTCTCAAAGGGGAAAGAAAGTGTCTGTGCCACACCAGCTGCTACACAGCCATTTATGAAGTTCTGAAGCGGAGTGAAATGAACTATGGGTTCTCGCCAGATTTTGTCCAGATTGATGTAAACAAAGAATGAGCCCGCAGAAAATGGGACAGCACCTAGAAAGCAAACCAGACAGGTTTATGTCAACACACTATACACTAAGAAAACTGAGCTGCTCATCACATAACCTAGAAAGATGGGATGAGCCGTTGACAGTTTACACCTTGCGTTGCTCAAATCTGATCAATATTTTGAAGAACTTTACTTTTTAGTCACTGTTTTACCACCAAACACCCATATTGTAGCATCTAGATGTGCTGACAGGGGCACATATTTACATCTTAAAATGTGCATGTTGTCAGAATTATTAACTGCTTTAGTCTCATGACAGGTCAGCTCTTTCTCCAGGTTCTGTCTTTTGTGACAAGCTCCTTCTCCAGCCCAACCCCACCCTAGCAGTTGTACAGGTAAACAGAGTTGCCTCTTCAGTCAAGCTGATGAGGGATAATTGTGTTCTCTCTTGCTTGTTTCATGCTGTCACCAATTTTATAATGGGATTATACATTACTATTATGCATTTTTATAATGTCATATTGTGAAAAAGTGAACTCAAAGTTAAATGGCATTTTTAAAAGCTATGGGGAGTAAATAAATAATTAAAAAGTCATTTCATGTAAACAGAGAACATCACTAATCTTCACCTTTCACATCAGTTATACATTACTCCTGTATATGTATACATGTATACATGAAACCTCATACTGGTTTCACTGAATAGCTAAGGAGACACTCTCACACCTAGACAGAAATTAGAAACACTGTGTGTGTGTATATATATATATATATTTATTTTTTTTTTTTTAAGAGTTACGTGATGGAAATCTTGCACCTGAGCACAACTAGATCATCTATAAGAGACAGAAAAAAGTATTTTGTTGAACACTTAACCATACATAAAAAGCTATGCCCTTTGTCATAATTTGAAGCAACAAAGCTGCAGCATAGGTAACCAGTATTGCTGTGCCTTGAAAATCTACATACCTTCTATAGAAGAACAGTACTATTTACTTTTGAAATCAAGTGACCAAATGAAGGCACTACATAGCTGCAATAAACAATGTGCAATGAGGTGATTTTCCCCCATTATTATTTTACCTAATATAGCTGGCGAAACGCCACGGTAGAGTGCAAGGAGTCCTTCTTGATGATAAATTTTGTAAAAGGCATGAAGAATTCCTTCGTAAGACGGTTCCAGTCGGTTCTGCACGATGAGCCGTGTTTTAATTACGTCAGTGGGGTAAGTCACGATGGTTGCAACCATGCCAGCCAGACTTCCTGCCATGATGGCTCGCCAGTGGGAAATATGACCCAACTCATCCGTGAAAAGTATAACCAATCTAGAGTAAACACATAAAAGAGGTACTATTAATGCCAGTACGAACAAAACACATGAAAAATCAAGGCAGATTATTCTTGATGTAACTGTTCTTTTGCCCACAAGCCCTTTCAGCAGCAGGTGTTGAAACTTTAACAAGTATTTCATCGAAGACCTTACTATACATAACGCCAGACAAGCATCAGAACCCCGGCAAAACAGAACATGCGAATGGGCAAACATGAGCAGAGTCCAAAACACATGCCTAAGCGCCCAAAGAGATTTTAGGTAAATCCACACTGCACAGGAGCGTAGAAATGCAAAAGTTATTGTTAACAACTAAGTCAGGGACTGGAATATATAACTCTGCAGATGCAAATTGCTTTGGTTTTAGTGTTACTGAGCTAAAATACTACCAGTATCCGAAAGAGCTTTTTTAGAGGCAGCTTGCACAACTCTACCTGCACCACAGTTCCCAGCACAGACTAAGCTCACATAGCTCGAGTTGTGGTACTGTGCTGGAGGTCCAGAGCACCGATTCAACAACGAAGAAAATCTTCAAAGATATGGAGACTAATTGTTCAAGTGATTTACTTGTTTGCTTTGCAAGAGACTTTTAAAGTAATTTTTGACCACAGAATCCTCATTTATATCTCCATCTACAGGTTGAAAATTACTGTGATCTAAGACGTGTCTGCAAGAAATTCTCTAATCACCAGTCATCAGTTAGAGACATTGGTCCAACCCTCCAGTCAAATTTATCAGGTTAGAAGAAATATGTAGATAAGATCATCACAGGCCTTCCAAGAACAACTGAACCTCACTGTTGCTTATGCTGCAACAGAAAAGTCCAAAGGGATACCTCTCTAGAGAAGACTTATGTCCAGGCACTATTATGCTCAGGAGGCGAAGTCTAAATTTGAAATTTTGAAATTGAAGCACGGAGTTTTAAAGGCTAACCTACAACTCATGCACTCGTGATGCACACAAGGACTTTTCTGTGTATGCACAGGGCACTCCTACATCAGGAAGAAGTGTCATGGATGCAACAAGAAGCAAGTAAAAAGACTTGAGAGGAGAATCTTAGCTGGAGGTAAAGAAACTTATTATTCTATTTTGAAAGCACTAACTAAACCACCTAAACTGTAGATTTACATTTAAACTACACAGCATTACCGTGTCCGGAACAAAATAATTTGCAAAGATTTACAAGTCACTGCTTGCTCAGTTGATGTTTTTTCCACGTGAGTGTGCATTTTCTACCACATGACAGATCCCTGCATCTACTTGTCTCGTGCCCTGGAGAGAGCCCAGAACAGAACGACTAGCCAAGCAGAAGCACAAGGGCATAAACATTTTTTCCTGTGTCTTCTACAGTCCCTAAAGCAACACAGCCTGATTTTCCTGTGCGTGCACAAACGTGTGGGGAGGGTGGTGGGGTGTATCAAGGCACTACCCACATAACATTTAAAACTGCCACGGAAGGACAGAGTCTGTGCACAGTAACCGCAGACGGAGGGCAGAGTCAGCTAAACCCCCCCTTCCCCAGCCAGATCCCCCCACACTGTTCCTGGGGCTGCTGACTATGCTCAGCCCAGGTCCTTCTGCAGTTGGCATTACTATTTACTTAAGTTACTGTGTAACATCGCTCTTTTTGTCTTTCTGGCCTTTATATACATCATTCTCCCACTAGAAAATACATTACAAAATTCCCAAATAATGTATCAAGAAACATGTGTCGGCAGCTTTTCTTTAATTTCCTGGTAGCATACTTCCACTCGTAATTCAAAAGAACAATCTGCGCAAACTAGAAACAAACTATAGCCTTGCAAGGGGAATACACTGTTTCAAGCTGAACAAAGTTAGTTATTTTTGCTTAAAATCAGCTGGTTTATACTGGTGCAATAGACTTGACTCTTCTGGGAAATTTAAATTACATTTAAATCACAGCTTCTGCCTTCCCACTGCCATTATCCCTCCTCTTGTTTGACCACCTCATGCATTACAAACAGGAGGACATAACAAAGCTGCCCACTTCCAGGGTCACTTCATCTATCATTTCGTGAACGGCGCAGGCAGAGCGGGGAGGATGACTCTTGCTCAGCCAGATGAATGACAAACCCCAGCAGCCTGCGTGGCGTCAGCCCGGGCGAGAGCCGCAGCGGGCCGGATTGGCCAGCAAGGGCTGAGCCCATGCTTCTCCACACCCAGCGCAGCCCACGAACTGGAATAACCCATCGCCCAGCTGGGCGGAAATGTCAAGTGCATGCCATGCACACAGCTGACCTTAATAAAAAAAAAAAAAAGAAGAAACCCAACCCTCGAAGTGGCAAAACATGCCTGGTGTATGTGAACACCCAGGCACTCCTTTCAAAGGCTAAAAGAAAAGAAATCCTACGAAACAGCGCGGGTCGGCAGAGCACAGTGAGCACTGCTCCACGTTGATCCTGCTGCAATCCTTCCAGTGTTTACCTTAATTTCATATCTGTGTATTATCAAAACCAAGATCTTAGAACAAATAATGTCACATATCGACTTCAAAACTGATCAAATTTGCGTAACAACCACCGCATAGCAGAGTAAAATATTTGAATCATGATTCTGTTTTTATTTTCTTTGATACAGACAATATAAATATTTGAGAAGATATAAATGAATAAAATAAATAAGTTGCAAAGAACAGACGTCGCAGTCACATTTGTAGGTAGCCCTGTAACTTCATTTCTGAAGGAACATGGCTGAGCAGAAGAGATGTAAGAGACTATCAGCCCTCCATCATCTGAAGAACACCTGGGACTTTACAAGCAGCTGCTGGCATATCACCAGGCCCCAACAGTTGCTACGTGCTGAATAATCTAAATAAATGAAGTTACTAGCCAGGCTCCTCGGGCAGAGGGGACACACAGCCAGCTAGCCGTCCAGCTGAGGCAGAGACACTGAAGCGCCCCTGCGGCTAAGCTCTCCACGATCCATCCCCTCCTCTTTTGTAACAGACG